TCTAAAAATATACGTCTAACTCGCATTTTTTTAAAAAATTCAATTATTTCATTAACATTTATTATTTTTGCGATACAAATTTCTCAATGTAATTTTCATCATTTTATTAGGAAATTTTATATGGAATATGACATAAAAAAATTTCGAAATTTTATATCTAAAAAATTCATATCCCATGTAAATTTTCGGATGCAAAATTACATAGAGTATGATTTTTTTGGACGTAAATTTTCGATTGTAAAATTTCTATTAATTTCTTTGCAAATTGACTGTGCCCCTTAACTTTAAACTTCTACTTCTGCCGTTGGACACGCGGAGAAATATCATGGACTACAATCAATGAATCAATGCTGAAGATATGGGATTTCAAATTCAAATTGGGTGAGACGTTACCAAGAGCAGCGGTATTCTGAATTTCACATAAACAGCGAAGAACTCATTCTTCATATCGGGTTTAGAAATTCTTGAATTTACAAAATTCCATTTTTGTTCATCTGGGTGATTGGAGATTTCGTTTTTCCTAAATTCATCTACTAGCAAGGTAACTATTACAATTATCATATAAATTTTTTGTGGGTTTCTGCTTTTACATAATTTAACACACAACCTACTTGAATTTTGTAATGTGGATGTAATTCTTTGTAATTAGCTCATAATGCTTGAGACCGAAGCATACGTGATATTTCGTTTCATCTTTATGGAGCCACGGAACTCTGAGTATTACGCTGGGTTATGCGGCGTTTAGATTAAATATGTGGACTGGTTTTGGTGCTGAGTCTGATGTTTGTGCCTTGTTTGGATATTGTTGAAGAATTTTTTTATAAGTGGTATAATGTTGATATGGATTCTAGATGATATCATGTGATGTTGTGTCGGTATATTGTTTTTGTATATACAATGAATTGGTTTCTCGTTCACAATGTTGCTCAGTACGTATATATGGTTTCCATGATCATTTCAACTCATGTTGTAACATGTTTCTGTGTGGTTTCAGATATGGACTCAGCAAGCGAATTCGTAACTTGCGATGCGAGAATATTTGGACTTCTCGTGCCTAATGGTTGCAATTACATGGATATGGTTGAGATGATATCATCGGGGTTGAAGATTAATACCAGTAATTCTATCTCGAAAATAGAGTATGATGTTGGTGGAAATATGGCTCCAGTGAGGATTGCAAAATATCGCAGGTGCAAATTTCCATCCCTCCGTGATCAAAAGAAACACTCGTAACAATCAATTCTCTGATTCACTCATGTTGCTCAGTACACACTACCTGGAAAATATTGCCAAGCTTGTGAGGGCAGAGCTTGCTCCAAGGGATGTCGTGTCCAGAAGCATAGACGATCAGCTCAAGAAACGTGACGAGAAGTATGTGCTTCTTGACATTAGTCACAAGCCCAGAGAAATCAAGAGCCAATTCTGATTGTTCTTGCTGCTCCTTACATGTGTGGTGGAGTTGGAATCTCATTCAATATAACAGTATCTAACAATTACACAACAATCAATGAGTTTAATATAATATACAAAAGTTTTTTTGGTCGATATAGGTATTTGAATTCTTAAGCAATAATCTTCGCAATAACATAAACCATCCATAAATTGGTGAAATATATTAGCATCCCTCAAGATGGTCTCTGGGCTTGTGACTTTTGCGATTAGTTTGATAGCAGTGTGGCAATCTCCACAAACCCTCAGGTTTTTCATCACCCGAATGGGCACCCCTTGAGAGTCCATAGGCTAGTGCTAACTTCTCGCTATGATATCCCAAACTTGAGAGGTTTCCTTAATGCTACTTCAGCTAAATCCAAGTTTCCCCAACAAATCAAACGTGCAAGCATATAATGTTCCATGGTGGGCTCTGTCGAATAGACTCAAAGATTTCCTTCCCCTCTTTGACTTGTCCAGAATAACCACAGGTCGAGAGAACTCCAACAAATGTAACATCATCTATAGGAATGCCTGAAGAATACATTTCTTGAAACACGAGTAGAGCTTTTCGTCCCAAACCGAGTTGTCCATATCTTGTTATCATAGAATTCCACATCACTGTGTGTCTTTATGCAGAAACCTATCAAACACTCCTTTGGCAGCAACAAAGATCACCACATTTCATGTACATTGTGATCAAACTGACAAAACATATACACTATCATCGAATTTGGACCTTAACATCTGTGCATGAATCTGTCTACCATGAGCAAGACTCGCAAGACCAACTTAGTGTGCTGATAGTATTCAAAAGAAAAGTTTTCAAACCTATCAACAGAGTAACACAAAATATTTAATAAATAAGGGAAAAAATACATTAAGAACAAACGTATGAAATTAAAAACCCTTCAATTTCTTTTGTGTTCTGAATGTGATTACAGATTGAGATATGATTTGTAGTGATCTTGGAGAGCATTGAAGATGTTTCGTTTTCGATTCACCAAATTCTTGGCTCAAGAGTATAATGGTGATACGAGAGACTGATGATTGTTGGAGCGTGAAT